ATTGTCTTATAATTAATGACAGTAATGACTGAATGTGTTTCATGTGATGTCTTTCAGTGCGTTTCGGTTGCAGTAAAATAAACGCTGAAATCCTGACCAAAATGGAGACATTGATCGGTCAAAAGGTGCACCACTTCCTCCGCAGAGGTATCTTCTTCTCTCATCGCGATCTTCACCTCATATTAAAACGATATGAGGAGAAGAAGCCGTTCTTCCTCTACACGGGAAGGGGTCCGTCGTCTTCAGCCCTGCATTTAGGACATCTCATACCCTTCTTCTTCACGCGTTGGCTTCAGGAGGCCTTCAATGTCCCGCTCATCATACAGATGACTGACGACGAGAAGTATTTGTGGAAAGACCTGACGATTGAAAAGACCAAAGAGTTGACCAAAGAAAACATCAAAGACATCATTGCTATGGGTTTTGATGTGAACAAGACTTTTATATTTTCCGATTTGTCTTTCATTGGGTAAGAGATGAATGTTTTGTCACTGAATTGACATTTTTCATGAAACCAATGATTATATGTGCAGAAAGTGTCCCGAGTTTTACGAGAATATAATACGAGTGCAGAGAAGCGTGACTTTCAATCAAGTGAAGGGTATATTTGGTTTCGGCGACAGTGACTGTATCGGCAAAATCAGTTTCCCCGCCATTCAGGCGGCGCCCTCTTTCAGCTCATCGTTTCCTTTCATATTTAACGGCAAGAAAGACATACCGGCGCTCATTCCGTGCGCTATAGATCAGGACCCGTACTTCCGGATGACGCGAGACGTGGCGCCGAGACTATCCCTTCCCAAACCGGCTCTCTTGCACTCGTCGTTCCTGCCGGCGCTGACCGGCGCCCAGACGAAGATGAGTGCCTCCGATCCCAACAACTCTATATTCCTGACGGACACTCCCAACCAAATCAAGAATAAAATCAACCGATACGCCTTCTCTGGGGGCGGCGCCACCATTGACGAGCACCGGGCGAACGGCGGCAACTGTGATATCGATATAGCGTTTCAATACATGAATTTCTTTTTGGAAGACGACAACCGTTTGGAGCAAATCAGGAGTGAATACAGTAGTGGACAGCTGTTGACTGGAGATCTCAAGAAGGAGTTGATTGGTATTCTGCAGACAATTGTGGCACAGCATCAGGAAAGGCGTAAAGCAGTTACTGATGAAGTGGTCGAACAGTTCATGTCTTTAAGAAAACTCAATCTTTAACTGTTGTTTAACTAACGAATTGTATGTATTTTTAGATGAAATTTTCATTAATCGTCTCAATATTTAATTTATCAGAAAATAATGTGTAAATAAAATCAAATTATTTGCATATATTATACAGTAATTTATACCGTATTTTAACTGATCACAAAACAGTTTGTTTGCATTTTTGAATCAAAATTGTTTAAACAAAAGACAATAAAATAGTAAAATTAATTATCGCAATGTTTGGTAACATGTATTTATTAACGAATAACTTAAGAATTAATAAAAAATTTCCTGTTGAAAATTGTAATGAATTTATTAAGATTTTAAATGAAGTACATTTTAGATTGAATTTGACATTTGATTTACGGACAGTATATTTAATGATAGTTTTTCTTGTAATTATAATATTTGATGTATTTATAGTACGGATATTTATAGCTGTAGAGATAATCTGAAATGGCAATTTTAATAAAATTTACAATAAAACAATTAACAATTAAACTTAACTAAATAAATCTGTTAATGAAATATTAATTTTAAAACGAAAAATAAGTACTTACCATAATATGGATAGTAGTAATAATAATCATCGTAATCGTCATATCCATATCCATGTCCGTAACCATAATCCTTATAAAGCCCATAACCGTCGTAACCACCGTAACCACCATAACCTCCATAGCCATGGCTATCATATCCTTTTGAATAAGTGCAGGACGTTATGGTATACAACGAGAAGATTAACAGTAAAACGCCGATCTATTACCAAATGAAATATCGTAACCACCGTAACCACCATAACCTCCATAGCCATGGCTATCATATCCTTTTGAATAAGTGCAGGACGTTATGGTATACAACGAGAAGATTAACAGTAAAACGCCGATCTATTACCAAATGAAATATAATTAATTTAAACATTTACATATTAAATATTTATAAAACTTTATACCATTGCATGCATTTTGGCTGATATTTGAATTAGAAACTAAAATATTCAAATATATACTGTATAATTTAGGTGTAGATTAACTAATAACTTTATTTTGCAAATAAACTAAATTTTTCATTATTTTTGGCTCTTTTTATATCAATTCATAAGAATATAACGGAAGAGAAGTAAAGGCCGAAGAATTGACGGCCAAAAAACATCTTATTTTTGTTTATTTTTGATGAATAATTTAATTGACTCGGATACTATTATAATAAAATTAATTTGAATATACATTGACTATTAATTAATTAATTAATTTGTGAATCAATTATTACTTTCATTGATTTAAGGAAGCGATAGACATATTACTTTTGGACTTTAATATAGGACTCAACACTAACATTGATTAGTATTCAATGATTACAGTACCATTAATGACCAAGCTCACGCACTTTAGACAAATTTAGGGCGACCTTGCACACTATTTCTTGAACGGATGTAATTCTTCATAAATAAAATATAATTTATAAATAATAATAATATAGTAATTTAAGACTATACAGAGTATTGCAGTAATGAAAGAATTCTATAAACAATTTTCTTATTTTAGCTTATTTTAGAAATGTGGGCTAACCTTAATGAAATTAATAAGTTAAATATTAATACTGTACAATTGATTATTAGAAATAGAAAATTATTATATCAATCAATTGAATTTTTAAAATTATGTTTAGTAAAATAAGTTGTCAAATTTGATCAACTTTCCACTAATAACTCTGGGACACAAAGTTAGACTCTAGATTAGAAAAACATTGGCAATCATGGATTATCATAATTTACAGATTGAATAAAGTTCAAAACTTTTAAGTCTAATGTTTAATTTTGTTAATTTATTTTTAAAATGAATTCATATTCACATTGAAGAAGCTTTAAAACAAATTAAATAAATTCTCCCCATTCTCACTGATTTATTGACACTGTATATCTCAAGAATTATTATTACTGTAATAATAAGATTGATAAGGGCTAAATTTACATTAATACTGCAAATAAAGTATTTGCATATTGTGGCATATACTAAAATTATTATAACAATTAACAAATTACAATCCATTGAGAAAATATTAATATAATCTGACTTTGAAAACCAAGTCATTGAATACCATTAAACATAGTTTACCAAAAATGAAAAGAAAGTATTTTCCAAAACCTGAACTATAGTTTTGAGGGTCATTAGAGCGAAAACAGGGGAAACCCGATTGCTGTATGTTAGCACACAGTTATGCAATATATCAACAAATGTAACACAAATTGTAAGATTATAAGGGTCACACAATGCAAAAGTACAGACTATAAAAACTTTGAAAATGAAACTCTTTTCTACAAATTTGTCTTACAAGTTAGTTAAAACTTTTGCATAAGATTTTAAAATTTTATTCAATAAATTGAACAATGAATTTTTTCGTAAGCTATATTACAGTTAATAATATATTATTAATCTATTGACTTTATAACTTTTAATTTGTTTATGTAGTTGATTTCATCGGTTATTTTGTGTGTGCTGGTCATAGAAACTCTGGGAGGTATTGTAACACTAATTTCCTAAACTTTTAAGTACTTTTATGATCGCATAAGTCTAATAATAATTGTATTTAATCTGTTTTATAGTCCGATTTCATCGAAAACGAGATTATGGTTACGGAGATGGTTATGACGGTTATGGACTAAGAGGTTATGGTGGTTATGGACTCGGAGGTGGAGGCTATGGTTTGGGTTACGATAGAATTACAGCAAAACTCGCAAAAAGATTAATATCGAAGGGATTGTACGATAGATATGGAGGATTAGACCACTACAGAAGATATGGTGATTATGACAGATATGGAGGTTATGGTGGATATGGAGGCTATGGCGGGTACGGAGGCGGAGGTTATGGTGGATACGGAGGTTATGGAGGATACGGGGGTTATGGATCTTATGATGACTATGGACGAAGTGCCGGACTTAAATCCACCAAGGCTAAAAAATAATTTTTATGTTGAATTGAATTGAATACCATTAATCATAAAATTGTAAAAGTTGCCAAAACAGTGCTGTATATATTGTAATTTACTAATAATCATAAAATTTATGTATAAAATATAACAATAAATGCATTATGTTTAAAGTTTGATAGTTTTTTTTGTTCTTAGAATCTAGAATCTAATTCATAATCTAGATCATAATCTAGAATCATAATCTAGAAAATGAATGTACTGTATTCATATTTCATAAAGTAAATTCCACTAATAGATTTATATGCAATCAATTTTATTGGTTTAAAATTTAAGTTAAATTCATCCAAATATATCCCAAAAATAGCTAGAATTCATTTAAATAATTTGAGTCGAAAATATATTTATATACAAAAAAATTGTTATATAAGATAAATAAAAATATTTAGCAAAATATTATGTTTTAAATTAAAATTAGTTTAAAATCTCATAAAAATGATTAAAGGATCGCATTCTCAATGAATCCTTTAATACTCTTCGGGAGCGGAAGGCTTTGGATCTGCTCGAAGCTCATGGACTGTCTGATCACGAATTTGCATAAATACTGAAGAGATCGCACTTCACTAAAGCGAGACACCGGTCGAGTGAGTCGCACCGGGAATGAGGGCGACACAGGGGACCGACCCCTCGAGTAACAGAAGACACCCTTCTCTGAGTTAGACATGGATTCGCGGATCAAATCCATGAGCGATGAGTTGCCATCGGAAGAGCGGTTTGAATAAAAGCTAAACAATCCGTTCGTGTATTCAATGCGTGTGTGAAGAGTGCGACCAAACGATCGGAAACTAAGACTAAAGAGATAGTGATTATCAGAGCTGTCGCGCACTAAGAAAGAGCCGTCCATTTGATCCCGAAGTTTATCTTCGGCTTCACGCCTAGTAATGGGTCCCCAATACCAGCCGTTCCGTACAATGCGATCGATCTCTTCAACTAAACTGATCTTCTTTTCGGGCGATTTAGTTACAGAAGAATCCATATTATCATCACTTTTCAGATCAATTGATAACTCATTTGACGGATGAGATAGAGAATGGGATTCATCCGAATGTAAGTCTATTTTAGAGACATCCCTATCAATGGCAGAGATATCATTGTGTTGTCCATCACTGGATGCGGTCATGCCTTCCGATAACTCTTCATTCAAATCGACAACATTTGAGTTGCATTTCATGTCATCTTTCGTTGAGTTTGTATCGAAAGCTAACTCTTGTTTCGATGGATTGGTGTCTGAGATCTGATGCACTCTTTGTTTGCTTTTGTTTTTCTTAAACTTCTTCCTAAAGGACTGCAACAGAACTGCCGGTAATTTCTTGAGTTTGTTGGTCTCGGATGTGCTGTTGGATCCGACCGTCTGATTGGTGTCCGACTGAGTGGACAGTCGATCGTAAGTGACATCGAAGTGACTTCGATGACGGTCTTCGTCGACCGGCTCCTCGTAGTCGTCATCTTTGGTGTCATCCATGGGTTTGTCATCTCTTTGTTTGGATCTCCTGTTGAGTCTGTCTTTGAATTTAGTGAATGAAATCTTTTTCATCATTTCATTCATTGCTTTCAATGGTTAGACACTTGAAGTGAAATGTAAAGCAATTGATTGAATGAAACAAAACTCAAATGAAAAACATTTTTCTCGCAAATAGTGTAACGAAAGTCAAGACAAACCCTTCGCTAATAAAAACAACAAATAAATTGTGTTTACATTTCAGTTCACATTCAATGCTATTTTGAAAACTCACCGAAAATTGCATTAAAAACATGACTTACAGTGAGAGCGCATGCCTTACATGACTTTCACTAGACTTTTAACAAAGTTTTTCAGTTTTTCACAAATTTTTCTTTTTCTATTTCACTTATTATGATATACTTGTGATCACTGTTTGGATTACAGCTAATCTCAAGACAAATTTAAAACTAATCCTTTTGTATAAACAAAACTTTCATTGAATGAATAAATAAATTATATATTTGACAATCAATTGAAAATTACAATACAGTATTTGAATCACTTTTAATCAAAAACCCATTTATTACATAAACTAGTCTTTAATTATTATTATTATTATATCATAATTAGTAATAATAATTATTTGAAAAATGCATAGAAATAGAAATAGTATAACAGTAAATGAATGATTGAATTAAAATGTCAACTATTAATACAATTATTGTATAATAAGTGTAATAATAAATAAATCATTTAATGAATAAAAAATAACAAAATGATTGAACAAAACTCAATGAAAACTAAATTAATTGAATGATTGGCACAAAAACGATTGAATTAATGAACGACTAATGACTTGAAATGATTGGTAACTTATTTTTGTAGCGAAGAGTTAGAAGAGGAAGAGTTGGAGCGAGACTTGGAGAAAATAGAGGACTTTTTGGCTCCGTTTTTGTCACTTTTATTGGATTCGGAGTTGTGTTTGACATCGGGTTCCGAATCAATGAGTTCTTCTTTGCTATTTGAGGACAACTCGAATTTGGCTCCAATCAGACCCACCACTGACTTTGGCCTTTGTTTCAGTGGCGGAGGATTCGATTGGCGCCCAACCGATGACCGGTTGGTGTCTGTATAGGATGTGCTGAGACCTATGTCTTCGTTGGCAGTGCTCTGTATTTTGTTGGGAGACTTCAAGATGTCTCCAAACACTGTGGCCCTCAACTTAATCCCTTGTAATGGATTCGCGTTATTGATCAATGGGTTCGAGTCAATAGTGGCCGCAATGCTCGCAACGGGAGGTGTGGTGGGAGTGGGCGCTAACGATCTTCGACTTTGTTTAGCCCTCATCTCAGCCAAGATATCGGAGCGTTCAGTAGGCAAAGGGCTCGTCATTCTCTCGTTGGACTCTAATATCTGATTGATCTCTTCAGCGCCGGGAGAGTTGTTTCGGGCAACGGTTATGGGCTGAGAGGCCCTCTTATTACCCAAATTAGGTGACGATCGGGAACGGGTCACTTCATCTATACGTGCTGATAAAAGTGATGTCTGGGCGGCACCTGTACTCACACTTGTCTCATCGTTTGTACCCTTTTTTGAGCTCTCAATTGTCTTGAGATGCGAGGCGTCGGACTTGACTCCAAATTTCTTGAAGAGACCGACCCTGGGCTGGGCCTGAGGTTTTGGTGGCACCTCCACAGCCGCCGTCTTCTTGAAGAATGAATCCAAACCTTCGTCTAATTTCTCCACTCTTTCACTCTCATCGTTGACGACAGACTCCTCTTTAGTTTCTATTTTGACAGTCTGTGTGATCGGAGTTCGAGTCGGGGCTCGAGTTTTAGGCTTTTTTGGTCGAGATTTAGCCAAATGTTCCAATTTGTCAGAACTGGTGGACGTCAGTAGACTAGAATCGATTGAATTTAAACCACTGTTGGAACTGTCGGACGTCTTTGGCAACAGATCTGGAATGTCATTAGATGTTAAGCCATCCAAAACCGATTGAGGCCTAAGTCTTCGGACATAAAGACTTTGACGCTTTTGAGTGGATTGCTTAGGAGTCGCCTGATTTGCATTCATGTAAATACATATTAATTAGAGATAATAAATACAATAAATGCTAAAGAAATATATAAAATAGCAACAGAAAATATTGGGTAATAGAATATTAGAGTGAGTGAGTGAGCGGGGAGAGAGAGAGAGAGAGAGTGAGAGAGAGAGAGACTCACTAAGTTAAGCCACGCCAACCACTGGCAGCATAGGAAGCAATAAATTGTTAATAATTAGTGTTAAGTTTACAGAAATATACTGTATTTATAAAATGATACAATAAAGTAAGACTTACAACAGTGGACTCTTCATCGGCGTGACCTTCGATGGATAGATTTCCTTCAGTGGATGACTCTCGGGAACAATTGCCTTCAATCCAAGTCCTGCTGCGCAACACATCAGGCGTTGAACTCCTTTGACTGAGAGATTGTTTGGTCTCCTGTCCTGTGAGTGCTCTGTGACTGGAAGAGAGACAATCGCTCACTTCTATCAGCACTTTATCACAAATCTGAGCCGCGATTCCCTGAAGTATTTCCTCGACTTTAGTGGTGAGAAGAGCGCCGACACTGTCTGCCAAACACGTCTGAAAGAAACTGAGCGAAGGAAGTAATGGAGAGTTTTTGGTGTTATTGAAGATACGGTGCAATTCGTTCTGAAGGCGATCGCTGTCTGCGATGACGTGCGGACACTGTTCTTGAATTGTTTCGATCATCGATGCGATCACACCATTAATGTGTGCCTCAAATGTTTTCTTCAACTCAAGCGCCGTTTCGATGAGTTTTACTTCAATTGGTTTGCAAATAGAAAACGTCGACAAACGGCGACCGCTTTCATTGATCTCCGGATATATGAGCTTTTGATTCAAATGAGACAATAAGTGTTTGGCATTCGATGCGTCTCTCAGATAACTCTCGGCCCTTAAGATCTCCTCGTCTTTAGCGGTCACTTCAAACGATTCCGAAGACTTTTTATTCTCATTCGTTAGCCCATTGTTTAAGACATCACTTAAATGAACGGCCAATTTGTCGACCATTTGCAGGACATTGGAATCGATTTGCATGTGATGGCTGTGGAGGCGACTGTTCTTCAGTATGGTTTGCGGCAAATGGTTTCGTCGCAGGAGTTCCTGAATCTTAGTGACGGCCGCTTCAGTGCGTTCGGCCATTTTGACCATTGCTGTCTGTACGTCCTGCACCGGCACCGGCATATACTTGAGCGTATAATTCCTTTCGAGAGAGTACGCGATGTCCACAAAACCCATCGTTGGAATCATATTTCTGTCCAGATATATGGTCTCTAATTTGGAGTTCACTTGAAGTGCTTTCGCCAGAGTTTTAGCACCAGACAGACCCATCAGATTCCCTGTATTTAAATACACATTTATAGCAAACTTTTTTGTTAACTAATTCAAAGGCAAATACCGGTCACATCGATGTTCACTAATGATTGATTAGAGCCCAAAGCATTGATCACAAGACAAGTGTCGCCTCGAAGTTTTGAATCAACTAAAGAAAGTGATTCCAACACCGAGTCTTCATCTTGTAATAGATGAACAAGAGATTCAAGAACTCGAGGCATATGTCTAATAGAGAATAAAAATACAATTTAATTCAAATTCAATGATATTTTAAACTTTAGAAATTAAAGAATTCTTACTTTGGTTTAATATTATTGAAGTTTTTACCGATTGATAAGTATTTAATAGATTTATTTTTGCTGATGGAGTTGATGACATTGGTTACGTCGATATCAAACCCGTTATCACTTAAATCTAATCCACTGATACATCGAATGCCTCCCAAAGCAAACTCCAAGACCGTAGCGCCGCTTGATTTCAAGTCATTTGAACTGAGATTAATGCGAACATCTGTTGCGATCTCATTGCAGGCAAACCCTAAAAGCATTGCTTTCAACGCTTCCGCCGGCAATCGATTGGCCGACAAATTCAATGTTTTGAGGGCAACCGTCGTTGAAAAGAATGCTTTGAAAGACGGCGGAGGATTCACATCCTTATGACTCTTCTTACTACTAAACTGATTGCGCGATAGGTTTAAGTGAACCAACTTTTGAGTGCAACCCCTGAGGAAAGCACCGAAAGCCGTCTCTAAAGAGCACTCAGTGTTCGACAAATCCAAATGAGTTATGTTATTAGGTTTCGCTAAGAAGTTGTATAACTTCTGTGAAATACAAGGCATTTGTTTAAGTTTGTGTCAAGAAATTCATATGAAATGAGACTTACGTTAACGTCATCTTTAAGGACATTATCACTGAGATTGAGATAAGTTAGGGACAAAGGAATCGTTTTGTTAAGTGATAGCGAATCCGAGAGTTCAGAAACACCTTTGCTTGTGATGGTGGCGCGGCTTAAGTTGAGGTGAGTTAAGCCTTTGTTTAGTTTCATTGCAACACAATTGACTGATGAGTTGGATGAGTCGTCTGAAATGGTGTTCCCCTGACATGATTTGGCGACAAATCCACTCAAATACTTGAGGCCTTTATCTTCAATTAAATTGTTGGACAAATCGATGAAATTAATGGCTGTTTGGCTGTTGGTCAAAATGGCTGAAAATAGTTTGTTAACGGAATCGTTCTTAAGACCTATTAAGATATGTGAGGAAATAAACAATTAATAATACATTTAGTTTAATAATAAAAAACACTAACTAACCCGTGTTATCTAAATATAAATCTTCTAAAACAGTAGATCTCTTCACGAGATTATATATCTGTTCCGCCACTTCAGGCATCATATGTCCGGAGAACACCTTTATATTACTGGCTCTGAATTTAGTGAACCATCCGTTATATGAAAGCGCGGCTATGATTGCAATAAAGTCTTTGGGATCCAAGTGCTCAAAGTCCAGGAGTGAGAACTCCGTGTTATTGTGCGTCGAGTAGATGGTGTCCACATCCCAGACCACTTCCTCACGATAGACACCACCGAAGTAATCACAGAGACAGGCGTATTGAGTGGAAAAGCCTCCGCACGGGTTCTCAATGGTGTTGAGGTTAGCCCTCTGTTCGACACTCTGGTTGTATTCAATCATTGACTGAATCCGAGCGCTCGGCTCCACTTCCAGCCGACGGATGAATGAGTCGAGCGATATGTGCGGAAAGATAGTCTTGAGAGCGGTTCCCAATTGTATTATCATTAAATTGATTTCCTCGCCGTTGTTGGGATCGACTGAATAGAAAGTGTATGACTTGTTCTCGGATGTGATGCCAATCGTCAACTGATTCTTGCGTTTGCTTTCAATTGAATTGATGTCTAAGTAGTGAAAAGTTTGCTCTATTTTTGTGGACACTTTTGCCGTCAAAATGAAGAGACGACACGCACTGAAGGCTAAGATCTTGTTATCCGTTTTGTCGCTCTTCAGCTCCATTTTGACCAAACATTTCAGTGATATCTTCACACTTTGGCCCAGAAGTGCAGACACACTCTCTGTCACATGGGATCAGATAGACATCAATCAATGCATTCATACAGTTATCACTCATTTGTCGAGCATTTCATTCAAATGATTATCAAATTTATGTCAAAATAAGTCTACATTTAATAGTATTGTTTGAGTCTATGTTCACCTCAAAGGCATTAATTGTCTGTTAATTAAAGACTAATTAAGTGTTTATTAGTCTAACAATACAAATACAGTGATAATAGTAGTAGTAATGAGCAAATAATTATTTCCTTTAATTAAAAAGTGGAAACAAATGCAACCAAATGTGAAAACTTAACGATTTATGCAAAAGTTGTCTCATTTAGGCATATCATAGCAGATATTGTATTCAATTAATGGTTATTCAGTTTGGGTTTGACTTTTCAAACAACTAATACGGAAATTAAATACACTATTATATGGTATATAATAGTCTATGCATTTCTATAGCTATTACACACTCAATACAATTGTCGCTATCATTACCACACATACAGTGGACACAAGACAACACTTACCACTCAGTTCTTTAGTGAGGGATCCCTTGACAGACATTTTGGCCGACACTGTGGTTGTGGTGATGTCTTCAAAGCAATTCAATGGTATATTCAATTAAATGTCAATTAAATGCATACATATGTAGTGCGAGATTGACTCTCGACTACAGCAACACAAACACTAAACACTTTAACAGTAAATATCAATACAAATACAAATTCATTGCCTTTGCCTTCACGAAACCCATAGACAAACCAGTTTCACATCCCCTCCCACTCGCGACACTACAGTCAACACTCGCTATACAGACACCACTTCCCACGAGTCATCATTTGTCACAATCACATCCTGTTTCACCAATATTATCACTAACTGACCATTAAATCACACGTAATGCTAAAACATAAGACATAATTTCAATTAAAGTTTATTTGCGCCAAACTTTATCTCAAATGAACTGAATTTGTGGGAAACCTATTCAACCCAATGTCTGCAAACTTGGAGTTTAATGAACCCCAAACTGTCTGTCCATTCAATGAGTTTGTATATGATATGAGTAGTGAAAGGGTTATTGATAAGGATTTGGATGTAATCATTGGTTTATATAATCATTTGGAGACTTAAATTAAACATAAATTTAGTTGTCTTTAGTACTAAATGCAATACAATAGACATCGGCTTATATAATACGATAGTCTGGATATAATGGGGACGTAATGACAACAAAACCCCTGAATGTAAAGATTGCATAACATTTGGAAATGCGTGCAAAACCCCCAAACATTTAATGGTGTTTTGCAAACACTGATTGTCTGTCTGTTTGTGATCTCATCTCAAATCAAGTGTTCATTTAGCCATTGGTTGAGTGATTGGTGAGGAATGGCTGTTAATACCGGTCGTCCCATCACAGAGTTTGCCGCTTACCTCAAGAGGGACCTGACGTCCCACACGAGACGCGTCCAGAATCTGTTTAAAAGGATTTCCCGCAACGAGGAGTCGTGGCTCGAAGACAGGTCCAGACACTTGCAGACACTTCTTTGCCATTCATTAGCTCTCAATATTAATTGATAACAATGTGTTGCCATTCAGACACGACATCCGCTATAAGCTGACTCTAGTGAGGGCTGAGTTCGAGAAGCACCGGCACGTGAAGGACATGCGAGTGGCGAAGGCCTTACTCGAAGAGGGCGAGCGCTACCTATTCCTCAACATTCATCCGCAGCCCAAGAAATTCACGTTCAGTCCGGGGGGCGTGTGCTTCGAGCGCTACCACGACTACCCCGACTGGCACGCGGACTACTGGCACCCCCTCGAGAAGGCTCGGTATCCCTATTACTTCGCCAAACGAGAACTCCGGAAGAAGCAATTCATCCAATTGTGGGAAAAGGGAAACCACAACACGACTGGTGATGACGGACACACCGCTCACCACTGAAACCACACTCTCGACCACTGGTCCTCTTTTGTTGAATCTTTTAATTTAGTTTTGGTTTCAAAATTAAAACAAATGTTTAGAAATTAAATAAAATGTAGATATTATTGGATTTAGTGATTAAACTATTCATACAAATCACATGCAATGCTCTGTAACTCATTGGTTCGGTGGGGCCTTCGCTGACGGTTCAGTTGTCTGTCGCTTATGCCTAACAATCAAATTAAAGTCAATTCTCTCGACATCGCTGTCGGAAGAGTTGTCGGAATCACTGCTATCACTGTTGGCATAGTTCCCGAGTCCCGGAAGGACTCCAATGCACTCAACACTTGCATTGTTTGACACTTTACTCGATGTCTCACTCCCTTTACCATCAGAATCCTTTTGGTCGGCATCAGTGGTCGCGTCAGTCTTCAACTTCTTTGGTGGGGTCTTGTCCTCAGACTGGCTGTCGGAATGAGTTCTTCTGCGGACAACAGTCGCCAGAAGTGCTGATTGAGAGCTCTTCTTAACTGATTTGTTAGAATTGGTCTCATTTTGAACGAAGTTTTTGGCGAAAATATTTTTCTTCATGTCATTCAAGCGCTTCTCCTGTTCCTCATGATTCAGGTCATTGACGGCTCTCTTATATTCTTCGATGGTTTGACTCTCTTCTCGAAGACGTTGTGATTCTAACTGCAGTTTCCTGTTGTCAACCATCTCGAGGAATGATACCTCATCGCTGTCCAGACCTTTGATCATATTCTTCAGTTTGCGAGACTCTTCAAACTCCTCATCCTTTCTGTCCTTTTGCTCTTTGAGTCTCTCATAGAGAGTCCGCGAATCGTACGGCTCTTCGGGCGCCTCTGCTCTCAACAAATCAATTACAAGACATTAAGACCTGTCATATGACCGACACCTCAATGGTTGGACACAAACCCAAAGGCATGTCTTCAGTCCTATTCTTCTCATATTCCTCTTGTCTTCGTTGACGCTTTTCCTCGAGGACTGACTCCGACACGAATGACAGACCACTCGTCGCCCCACTCTTGGCGTCTAAACTCATTGCAAACTTCAGTCAATTAGTGACAAAAACTGTGTTTAAATGAATTGTTGTTAAAACGAGTCATGAAAATGAAAATGCATTGAAAAACACAACACAAACACACACTCGGAGTGAACCATAAAAAGCAGTACTTTTGTTGGTTTTATGTATTTGTGTTAATCTTATGATAAGGTTTTGTTTAAATTGTTTTATTCCTAATATCTATTAATTTAATAAACAAAATTTATAATTATTATTAAATATATTCAGATGAATAGAAAATTTATGAAAAATGTGATAAAATTATAAAAAGAAATGACATTATAATAGAAATAATAGTATTGTAACAGAAGTTATGAATGAAATGAATCAACAGTTTTGTCATATTTTGTGGTGTTTTTGATAAACATTTCAGTTTTGATTCATTACTTAATCACTGTTTGTGTCGACAATTGCATTGAATTTGTTTGAATCAATCAATCAATTGACAAATGAGTGAAACAACTGAAGAGTTGCCGCAGAGTTTGGTGACAGAGACAGAGGATAATGCGGTGACAGAAGAAGACACATCACTGGTGGACAGCGAAGGGAAGAACTCGAAGAGTCTGTCGTGTCTTAACTGCAATTGTCTTCTATTGAGACCTAATATCGCATTATTGGTGAAAATTGAGGTTCAATTGAATGATAATAGGGTTGTGTCAGCAATGAAGTGACTGTCAATTGGTATGTCTGTTGCAGAAGTCGTTGCCGTCAGTGATGGTGCGCGAGGACTCGACGCATGGGTTGGAAGTGTTGAGTGACTTCTGGATGGTGTCCGATATGTTTCAGTTCGAGAATATGGCGTTCAGTAAGAATGTGGAGGACATGAAGTACTTGGCGTGCGCTGAGTGTGACATCGGACCCATTGGGTGGCATAATCTCTGTGACCAGAAGTGCTACATCGCTATCAACCGAATCAAACATCACTAACACATTGGACGGAAACTGTGAAGTGATACCATTGTCTCAGTATATCATATATCATATGATAATTCAGATAAGATTTAATTAATATATTGATAATCAGTACTTATTTCTACCACTTATTCATCTCTCTATCGATATATCGCTATAATTAGGATATAATATAATGTTTGACAAGAATTTCATAAATATTTTAATAAATGTTTTTCTATTTTTGTTAACTTATTGTTTGATTTACAGCTAATTTATTTTCATCTCTCTATCGATATATCGCTATAATTAGGATATAATATAATGTTTGACAAGAATTTCATAAATATTTTAATAAATGTTTTTCTATTTTTGTTAACTTATTGTTTGATTTACAGCTAATTTATTGACAGCTTTTATAATGAATTCAATAAAATAATACATTTTTATATTAAAAACTATATATTTATCGATATTTACTGTATTATATAAGTTGAAGCGTGACTTTTAATACTATCGACACATACAGTGCAGCTAAAAGCTATCAATTACACCAATTAAGACATCCGTCCTATGTTTGAGATGTTATTTGAAATTTTTATTAATTTTAATTACTTTTAACGCAAACATGACATACCATATACTTTCTAGACTTACAATCAGTTAAGACTTGTATTGTCTGTGAATTCCTATGCTATAAATCATTATTCATTGTTTGAACGATTACTGTCGTGCTATTGATAGCATAACAGGTAATGAATGACATTTGTATTTCATGTTAAATAAATTTCTATTGAAATAATAATAAATAATATAACTTCTATAAAGTTATGATACGTTAGAAATAAGATTACAATGAGATTAGTTATAAAAGTGCAGTAATAGAGTATCGTTGAGAAGTATCGATGACTACACACTGCATTTGATTAATGCCTATCGTATCACTGCAACCGAAAGTCATTTAATTTTAGTATATTATGCGTGAAATAGAGAGACAAAAAGCAATCAATTTATGTTTATTCGGCAGTCATTATATAAACTCTTGTAATTGTGAGCACAACCAGTGAATAGTGAGTGGTTTGACATGGAGTTGACGACTATCCTCATTATTGTCGGCGTTTGTATCGCAGTTGTCGTATTAGGCATATGTCTGGTCTGTTGTTTAGCCCAATGGATATGTGGAAAGATACTTTGCGCCCCCTGTAAATGTCTGTGTCCTTGCTGAGACTGCTTTCATACCAATGACCATGGTTATTACTCGGTTCTACACACTCATCACAACTCTAATCTGTATTCTCATTCACTCTAATGTTAGTCATCATAAATAAATTTTGTATTTCTATGTCACTTAACATACTAAATTATTTATTTAATTAATTAATTAATTATGAAAATATATTTTAGTACTTTTGTTGTATATTATTAAATATGAGAAATTATTTAATTTTGTATTGAAATTATAAATTAAATTGTATGTGTTGTATGAAATATTTATAAAATTAAAAATATTAAATTTAACTAAACTTAATAATTAAGTTTTTAAAGTTGAGCATCATACTGTAAATTATACGAAAGTTTTCATAAATATTTATACAGTATCATTGTAAATGGATTTAAATGAAATTGTTTTTATTAGCAACCAATTAGTCAAATGCACTTGAATCTGCTAAATATTTTTGGCCTACGATTCATTGCTGAAATTTGTCTTGGTGTTTATCATGTACCCAACTTAAGTAGAATACAGTACAAAGATATTATTTGTATTAACAATGATACTTAATTTTTGAAGAATTCATAAGTGATATACAGTTTATTTGACTGCAACTTTTAAGTTAATTATTTCACATATCATAAGATTTCAATTCTTGCGGTGAAATGAAATAATTATTTTATTAAACTTATTTACTTTTACGGTAAAATGCGGAAAATAAATAATTTTTATTATGGGTAATTGTACTTTTTGATTACAGATCAAAACATTAAGCAAATGATTCATAGGCTTGATTAGGTAATATAATACTATAATATAATATACTGTATTATAGTTATATTTATCAGTAGTGCTGATTCAATACCTTATTAGCTTTAATCCTATGTGTGCTACAGTTATTTCTATGACAAATATCTAAAGGTTAGACGCATTACAAAATATGATATTAAAGTGAAATATTTTTAAAAATAAAAAATAATAATAATAATAAGTAAATTAATTGTAGAAAGATGTTTTATACAAAATGTTCACCTTCATGCAAATATTGGTATTGCAAATTAACTTATATCATTATTACTTTAATTATTACTTTATTATGTATTTTATAGGCACTGTAAGTCTTTGACACAAACTTTTTATTTGAG